AATTGACTCTATTTTGGAGACAGCCTCAAGTGGACACTCAGGGAACTGCCACTGGACTTCTACATTGGCTTCATTTTTCAACAACAGGTTGGTCGCTTGGGTTCGACTGATACCTATTTGCAGCTTCTCCATTAATGTCTGACTTGGTTCAAGAGTTCAGTGCATGTGTGAAAGGGCCAATCCCGTCAGGTCTTACTGGAACCCTTTTCAGATCCAATCATGTAGATGGCATCAATGAAATGAAAACGGAGATCCCAGCTGCCACTGGGTGAGAGGCGAGGTACACCCTGGACTGTTACAGGAAGACATTTAAGAGAGACAATTTGAACTTGATTCTCCAATTCAGGGGTTCCCAAACTTTGCCATGTGAAAGGAACCATAGAGCATTGTCTTCTAGTGGGGGGGATCCCACTTAACTCCCCCTTAAATTCCTTGTACATATGAAGGCAAACGTCGACGTCGAGGGGAGAACACATTCGGCCACATCATGTCACGTCTTACTTGTAATGCCTTACTTTAAGTGTGCTGGAACATAGCGATGACTTTTAGATGTCCAGGTGGTATTCTGAGGTTGTGGCCTTTTTTTTGCAGCTTTGTCACATTCAGTCTGGTTGCCTAGTTGCTTTCACTTTTAAAATGATTTTATTTTTCCATTTTAAGAGGAGGTAGGTAGGTATATCATTTTCATTGGTGCAGAAACCTTCGGATACATGGAGCGTCTGCTCGATTCTGATTGGCTAGAGGGGTGTGTGTTATTTTTTATTGTCAAAAATAGTCTTACAAGTTGATTTTGTATTGTTGTTCCATTTCCCCGCCCTGTGTCTGCAACCCTCATAGCGCCCCCCTTTGAAAAAAAAATCCCTAAACTGGCTTTGGATATAAATAAATGATGTCATAATCATTAATACAGTCATCGTCTTCTCTTTCTGTGCAGGGTTCCTTCCTGAGCCGGAGCTGAGTTCTGCGTACAGAGACAGAGATCTGTTCGACGATCCTTTCTCCTCCTTCTCCTCTGCCGCCTCCCCCTCCCTCATCGTGACCCCGCCCAATGAAACCCCTTCCCCCATCGTCGGCGTCTTTGGCTCCGGCTCCTCCATGGTTACCACGGTGATGAACGAGCATCCCCCAACGCTGCCCCCGGCCTCCACCAAACCCCAGGTAACCCTGTGGAAGGCGCGAGAGCTTTATTAAAGGCTGCGCGTCTGTTATGCCTCAGTGTGATGCCAGTGTGCGGGGGAGGGAGGGGGGGGGGGAAAGAGCGCAAATGGGCCCCATTACTGCCGTTACTATGCCGCAAACCTCATAGCTCATCTTGTAAAATGACTGAACCTAGAGGTGCTGCTGGTGACAAAACATCCTCCAGCAGGCCGGGCTCGCAGGCTCTGGGTCACAGCTTGTATGATGAATATGACCGCGTTCTGTGTAATAAAAACTACGCCTCTGGGATTAAAACCACATAGTCCACAGTCCACAGGGCATTTTCTATAACTGTTCCTTTATTAGAAACCACGGCAGGGAAAAATGATTGTGACCGCAGAGAGTCCCCTTTTCTTTTTTTGTGTCCGACTGAAAAAACCTGCAGGAGTGCGAGGGGCTCCTCTCACCACCTGTCACATCCGCCCAGCTTGACGCTCCAGCAGTACGCATAAACAACATTAATTTAAACGTGTTTTCCCCAAGCCGCCTTTAATCTTGGAAACGTTACAAATTTAAGACAAAGTGGCACCGGATGTCGGCAGATGCCAACAACATGAAAGCTCTTACATGCGACACAGCTGCTGTTACAAACACTCAGCAGCTTGTTGGGCGTCTGAAGCCTGACGGGATCAATGACAGCGTTTGATTTGACTGACAGTTGTTTTGTGTTGAGGAGTGATGCTGCATGCAGCACAGAAGACGCCGCTGGAACAAAAATGCTAAGAAATCTCATTAGAGTATTCTCTTTTGAGTTTCTATTGAGGATGAAAGGGTTGTTAATCTGTCATTATTGATCCACATGTGACCTCACCCTGAAAAACATTTGGGTTTCGGCCTTTTGTCTAAACAAAAGATTTGATGTAAAGAGAGGAGTTAACCATCATCACCATTTGGTCTGCAGACTACAGTTTAGAAGCCTCATGTTTGGTTTCCTCATGTCCATTTCTGTCTTGGCTATCTGGCTCTAGAAGTGACCATACCTGGATGTATTTTTGGTGCATTCATGTGGTGACGGACACATCGGAAAAACGAGTTTCCGAGTTGAAAAATGCACATGAACACCTGCTCAAGTCAAACTCGGTAAAGAATTAGGGGTCCGACTTTCCTACTTGACGTCAGAATCGTCATCACGAGGGGCAAAATATGTTATGTTGATGTTAACATACTTTTAATTAATTCACGTATTGCACATAACCTTTTTGCTCAAATCTAACTTTTAAAGGTCCCATATTATGCTTTTTCTGGTTTTATATGCTCTTCAGTGTGTTTTCCAAGTGTCCTGTGCATGTTTAGGCACATCTATGTGCAAAAATTCAAAGTCCGCGGAAACGCGGCTTCTCCTACCTCCTCCTGTTAGCTGTAGCATTAGCTGCACGTAACGCTCGGTTCTAGCCCCCCTCGATAAAAAATTGTCAGTCCGACATCATTGTCAGTGTGAGGTCACTGATCTAAGCCCATTGGCTCGTTGCGGCAAGCCCAGCAGCTCATGTTGAAATTTCCGAGACGCGTGCCGAACAACTGACCAATAACGACAGAGCGAATCGGCAGACCAATCAGAGCAGACTTGGCCCACGTGGGGTCTAACAGTGTGGGCTCAACAGAGTGTAGCTGACGGACTCAGAGCATAGAGGGAGCAAGGAGGAGCAGTACATGAAAACAGACACTTTTTTAGCACTTTAGCTATTGTGAACGTACAAAAGATTACATAAATTAAATATATGAACCCCAAAAAGGGCATAATATGGGCTCTTTAACAGTTACAGCGCACATATCCTCTTCATAGTGTCAACGCTGTCTTTTGCTGTTGTTACAACATTACATCTTTCCGAACTGAAATCATGTGAACCCACTGAAGTCTGAAGAACGACTTCCCAACTCGGAAAATTGGACCACCCGAGCAGAATCTGAATACAACATAATACTCCTGTATTACTACTGTGTTCTCAAGGTGCCATAAACTCACAAAAATAATCTCAGCTTCTTGTGTAAACTGTACAGTCATGGTATCGTATTGTATCGGTATTGTAGTGAATCATATTGTAATGTAGTGACTGAGGCCTAGTCCAAACGTAGGCGGGTGACTTTTGTTTACATGAGATTAGTGCGACAGCAGATGTATTCAAACTAGTGCTCCCGCTGTGTTGACGATCAGAGGCGCCTGAAAGGACAACTTTGTAAAATGAAAATGGTCGTTGCGGACAAATGGCGAGAACATTTTAGTTGATTACCTGACTGCAGGCAGGTGGGCAGATTGCAGATCCATTGCAGGTCAGCAGAGTGAAGTGGACAGAGTGGAACAGAGGAGGGGGAAACAAAACACACCAAGTACTCAAAAATACCAAATAAAACACATTAAACCTCCATGCAAACTGATTTCATGGAGCAGGTACTGTGACACAGCGACCATTATATTAGGAGGTTGGTTCTTAGTAAATTGATAAAATGTTTGGATATATTTGTTGGTTAGTCAAACAACCAGTGCTGCCAAGGTCCTGATGAGGGTAGCTTAAATAAAGTCAAAGTGTTGGTACACTGACTTCAGCACGTGTTTGAGGTTTTAAGAGAAGTCATGGTGGCTCTGTGATTGGATGCTTCGGCTCGTCTCTGTGTTTGATGTCTGCAGACTGAAACTGACCGTCTGCTTTGTATTCTGTTAACAAGACGTCTGACCGTCCACAAGCCCGTGCACCTCTTTGCTTCCAGAGCAGTCAAATATTATTGGACCCCACAAGTAAGAAAACTGATAACCTTTCCTGCACCATGGGTTTCTGTGGCACGAGCGTGCGGCAAGGCGCCTTAATTAATGTTCGATCTTGTGCTGATGGTTTAACGAGCAGCTGAGCACATGTAGCTAGCCCCCTGCAATTAATCTAATTGATATTTCCATATAGGCGTACTTTCCTGAGGGGGAAAGGAAACAAGTATGGATCTATCCTCACCAAGACGTAGGTTGTTATTTTTGATCGATGACCCTCCTCAGGAGACACTTCAGAGTCTTGCAGACTTAATTATACCGTCCCGTGTTTTTATTTTGTTTACTCGATGTGAGGAAAATGATAACGGTAACATTTTAAGGCTTTTATAGCACAAAGTTATAGCTGAGGAATCCACCGCTGAGATTGTTCATAGCAAGGCCATCAAACGCACATCTGAATGACAATTTTTACTGAGGGAGAATAATGTGATTTGATTTTATCCCACGTATACCGTCATAAAAATTTATGGATTTATCCAAAGGTCTCCAAGTTCTGACTTTATTTCTCTGGAGAAAAAGCAGAAATGTAAATGGGTCGTTATCTTATTCTGTCCTGCATTTCAGTTTTCTCGATGGAAAACAACAAAAACAGTGTCAAGAAATATGAAATATGTAAATAAATAGTGATTTAAATGGTACAAAATTAAACCCGCTCTGAAGAGTTTCACAGTGTGTAACACATCAGGCGGTTTAAATGAAGATTTTTCTTTAGAGTATATTATACAACAGGATCAGAAATGAGGTTAAATGTTGACTATTTAAACATCAGAGCCCTGAGTAACATCCAACATCCTGTACAACACAAATCCTGAGCAGACAGGTTCATCCCATTGTTACAAGGGATGTAAAGATTAATCATGAGGCAGTTAAAAATCGATTCGAAGGTGTCATGGTTCACATCGGTACTCTGAAAAAAGAATCTTAGATGTTATCATCGCAGCTGTGGAGGCCAAACCATACTAACTAGTGGGTTTACAGCCCTGCTCGCCTAAACGAGTGCAAAAGCCAAAGAGATTACGAGGTGCGTTGGTGTTTTCATTAAAAAAAATTAAAGGAATCTTTTTCAGTCATCTCATCATTTTTCTTCGGTCTCCTTTTGTGAAATTAATTGTGAGAGAATCGTAATCGTGAGTTGAGTGAATCGTTACATCCCTAATTGTTGCCGCTCATTTGGTTCTTCTTAATGGTTTGAAAGGAGATGGGTCTTCAACAATGATTGAAAACATTGGAGAGTGGGGGCAGATCTTATTTGGAGGGGTAAAGCTTTTCCACAGGTTTGGGGCAGCTGCCACAAAAAGCTCAATCACCCCTGGTTTTATGCCTTGTTTTGGGCACATACAGTAATGTAGTGATTGAAGCAAGGGGATGGTTCACCTCTTCTACATCACCTACAACCTCTACAAACTCTGTTCACAACCGTCCTCTTCATTCACACTAGACAATGCCTAGTGCCTGAGCACGCTTCTGTCATGAACGGGAAAAAACAAAGAGGAGGACCCAGATGCAGATCAAACAAAAAATCTTTATTTAAACAAAAAGGGCAGAAGGCAAACTAAAACCTGGGGTGGACCCGAATTGTCCCTCCTATCTCCTTTCACTATCCACCCCGCGAAAACGTCATGAGGTCAAGGAAAGATGTTAGGAGAATTCATAAAGGACTTAGGGAAAGGCGATCTCGTTGCTCTGACAATCCGACCACATTTTCCACTAGGCGACGTCATTAAATGCGACGGGCCGGCGGAGGTTAATGACGTGGGTCTGCTGTGTTGAAACTACAATGTTCCGAAAATGGACTACAAAAAACGCATCTAAAAAACTCTTTCTGTGCCTTCTTACTGGTGAAATAATCCTAATTTTCAAAAGGTTGGGATTGAAATAAAAGAAATATAGACTACCAGGCTACAAGTAAGAAAAGTGAAACCTTCAGCTTCCTGTCCAATCATAAATCAACATCAAAATAAATATGAAATTAATTGTTACATGTATGCAAGACAAGAATGTACAACTGAAGAAATGCACAAAACATTCTGAATTGAATGAAATATGTTGAATAAAACATCATCTGATAAAAATGTCTCTTATCTTTTATCTCTTCCATGATCTGTGTCACTTTACGATCATCGTTAATGTTCGTGAACGGTCGGATGCACGAGTCGCTTTAAATGTTGCGGCCGCAAGGAATTGTGGGGCGTCAAATCTCATCTCCTTTTGTAAAAGATGGTCCAGTGTATCCTATGCTAAAGGAGGTTATAAAGGAAGAATTGACCCACCTTTCCTTAACTTTTAGAGAATTCGAACGGCTCTTATCATGGCCGCCACTTAACTGCTTCCGGGGTTAAGGTAAAGTGGATAGTGAAAGGAGATAGGAGGAACAATTCGGATGCACCCTTAGTCTTTTACCCAAAGGAGCCACGAGGAAAAAACTGGTATGCACAGGAAGTAGACACTGGGAGACACTGACAAACAATGATCTAACACAGAGGGGAAGAAACAGAGACTAAATGGACATGGGGTAATCAGACACAGGTGAGACTAACGACACAGGTTGAAGACAATCAGGGCGATCAAACTGGAGGGAAACACACAAAGGCAGGACAAGAAACACTGAGGACAACTACAAAATACATACACGAAAACACTGAAGACTAAACTAGGAAACTGTCAACACTAGGATGGACAGGAGAAATTAAAACATGGAAACCTAAACTCTGAAATACACTGAAATACAAAAGGGTGGACAGCCTTCATTATGGAGAAGAAACGAGTGTTCTGTCTGTATCTGACTAACATGACTCAAAATAAGACACACAGTCAGTGAAGTAGCTGTCATGTTCTCTGTGTTGTTCTCTGATGTGACGCAGACTCCACTTATTTTGGATACTTCCTCTCTTGTGAACTACATGATTACATAAATCCAGGTATGTGTTCTATTACGGCGTTATGTTCAGTAGGTCCGCTTGCTCAGGCCCGGTTGGTCCTGGAGCAGTGTGAGTGCAGGCCAACGGGGGAATGGGGGGGGGGACAATCATGGTACAGGACGGGACAACTTTGCCGAGTGTGAGTGCGCCTTTAGACGATTTCTTCTTTGTATTGTTCTCACTGGTTTGTTTTGTTGTTATCCTTAGTGCAGCGTCTTTGAGTATTCAGAAAAGCGCTCGGCCTATAAAAGTCTAATGTATTATTAATATTATTATTATAGGATACTTAAGATCTTCTCAGCTCTAAAAACATTATAAAGCTTATATCAAAACAAGTGGGTGACTTTTATTGAACAAATATCCAGATTTTTAAAGGTTGTAGAAACAAAAGAACATATATATATATACCGAGGAGTGTTTCAAGCTGCATTCGTCGCCTGCTGTCCTCACCGGATAGCTGTAAATCCTGTGGTCTTGTGTAATGAGCTCCTGTTTCAATCCCTGCATGTTGTGTTTGTGTTAGCAATAATAATGTTTGACAAACAATATTTGTATTCAAACTGTGTGCAGCTATGTTCTCCGTTACCAATCGATTGGTTTTTAAAGCTCTGCTGCTGCCGTCTCCGCTCTCTGTGTGCGGGCGTTTTTATGAATCAATGAAGCATTACTGCTGCTCGTCTCAACACGGGCCCGATGTGTTTCATTAAGAACGTCCTCGCCGTGTTTACCTACGACTCTGATAGAAACCAGAGTCGACAAATCAAACCAGAGTCGTCTAGCACTGCTGCGGTTTAATTGCCCTAACTGAGCATTCATCTGATGAGACAGGATTGATCTCTCAGATGGATTCAGTCACATTTAGGATTACTTTTTTAATACACATCTTCATATTCTGATCACATTTATATTTGAAAAAACAAACAAGCAGGTGAGGCAGAAATTTCTCAGCGTAGTGAAACTAATTCTGGACGGGATGAGGTGTTTACAGAGCCACACATCAGCATGTTTGAGCTCCCCTGTTCGGATTAAACATATCCAATGTGTGATTTAAGGTGATATGCAAACGATCCCGCTGAAGTGAAGATCAATAAGCAGGTTTAAAAGGATACGGTGTTGGTTCTTTTTTTTTCAGAAGTCTGGACGAGGAAAAGGACAGGGAGAGGTGATGCCAACGTTGGACATGGCGCTCTTTGATTGGACGGACTACGAGGACATGAAACCCGCAGACACCTGGCCGTCATCCAGGAAGAAAGGTTTGTGTTCAGCATGAAAGACTCTGATTGTAGACAAAATCCATATCAAACACAAATGAGGGGCTGCACGTTGGTGCTGTGGTTGCCGAGAAGGTTACTGGTTTGAATCCCTGTCGGAAAGTTTGCATGTTCTCCCCATGCATGTATTGGTTCCTCCGGCTTCCTCCCGCAGACAAAGACATGCTCGTTAGGTGACTCTAAATTGCCCATAGGTGTGAATGTGAGTGTGGCTGATCTCTATATGTCAGCCCTGTGATTGGCTGGTGATCAGTCCAGTCTCGGCTCCAGCTTCCATGACCCTGAACAGGAAAGGTGGTATAAAATGGATGGTTGGAAACATAAATCAGACTTTTTTACAGTTCAATAAATCAAAATGAAGTGTCATCATTCACTCAGTCCCTGCATGGAGAGTTTCATGTAGAGCATCTTCATCATGAAATTCAGAAACATCTTTCCTTATTATTCGTCGGAGCCAATAATCACGTCGCCTCTTCTTTTCATATGAGACGACATGATAATTTGCTCTACAGGATTCACAAATAAACAACCTGTTGGCTGATAATCGATTGCTTTTCAAAAATCTGCACATAGCTGAAATCTTTGAAGCTATTGGTCTGTGAGTGCAAGACTTTTGTTAGTTTGCTTTCTTGCGACTTCCCCTAATTGATCGAGAATTGGAGCCGTGCGTGTTTTATTCACGCTGGGATTAACATTTGAACTCATATATGACCTGAGTCCTTGTATAAATTATGTTTGCCAGAAAATAACGGACACAGAAGCAGAATTTCCTAAAGCGATTGATCTGCTTGGTGAAGGCTGTGTATCGATCAGAAGGCTTTTGGATCAAAGTTGTGTTTTTTTTTTCTGCTTTGTTCTGCAGATAAGAGGCGGAGTAAAAACCTCAGCAGTGGAAATGTGACTATAGACGCCGACGCCATCGAGCCGTGTGACCATCACCTGGACTGTCTGCCAGGTCAGTCTGCATCACATGTATCGATATTGACAGCAATGCATCTCAAATTTAATAAACCACTTTCCTCACAAACAACAGAATCAGATATTTTTCTTGTATCAAAACAGCAACAGAAGACAATTTTGACATTTATCCTCAATACTTGATTTGAGATAAACATCCACTTGCTTGCTTCATTGAGTCTTCTATGGTAGCCTGCAGGCGCAAAGGGTTGGGCAAAAACACAACATTTTCATCCACACGATTGAAAAATGTGATCATTTCATCACTAATCTAACCCCAGGAGAAGAAGGAGAACTGTTCATTGTCATAAATCTCTGAAACCCGGCTCGGCTCTCTCATCCCCAGTGACAAAATCCAGACTGGACTCTCTTTAAATCTCTGTGTTGCTGTTCTGTTAAAATGATTCTGTGTTGTTCAACGATGCAACTTTCCCATCCAAACAAAAATGTCCGTGCCTTGTCTCTCTTCCTCTCTCGTAATAAACTTACGCACACAGCGCCCCTACAGGCCTGGAGCACAGAGGCTGACATTTCTGAATATGTCTGTTTTTGACTTGTTTCGTTTTCATATTTGCAACACGTTTGTTTCATTTGCAGCCGTTTCATTTGATTTGGAAGCATGTAGAGAATATGCTGCGTGTTATTCTTGCTGTAAGTCGTTTCGGGGGGGGCTGAGGTTCAGTTGGTAGAGTCAGTAGTCTCTCAACTGAAAGGTCGGGGGTTCGATCCCCAGCTCCTGCAGCAACATGTCCGACGTGTCCTCCGGCAAGACGCTTAACCCTGATTTGCTCCTGCTGCTCGTCGGTGGTATGCATATGTATGAATGGGATTAGTTAGTTCTGATGGTCACTTTACAGACTGTAGCGACCTCTGCCATCAGTGTGTGAATGTGTAGGTGTCAGTCAGAAGACTAGAGAAGCGCTAAACAAGCTCAAGTCCATTTACCACTCAGCTGTTGTCGAGCCTTTGCACCTACAGGCCACCGTACTCTGTGCTTATTAAACAAGACTTAGTTGACAGTAATCTGGCTACACAACTGAACAACCCTCAACTCTCAACACATTTTAAAGTAAATATGACTAAACCCTGATTGGTCAACTGAACTGTGAGACTTAATCTTTTCCACCTGAGCCCCGCTCCTTAAACACCTGGAACATGATGAGTAAGAATCTGATCAATCATAAATCTATATGGGGCTTATAAAGGATGAGATCATTTTGTAATTTACATTTTTTGTGTTTATGTGACTCATATTAAACATCTTCATAGTTTTATTTCATGCTTTTTGTCTTCTGTAAAAATGTAATGTACTTGTTTCTTCAAAGGTTCTTGTTGTGACCTGAGACAACACGAGTGTAAACCTCACAACAGAGGCCTCAACAACAAATGTTACGATGACTGCATGTGTGAGGAAGGTGAGTATGGAGAAACATGTCGAATAATTCATCACAAGGCATCACTTTTAAGAAAATACGCTATATAGTTCTCCTCTTGGTGGAGAGTTGGATGAATAGATTAGTGTACAGGCTTTATATTTACATTCTGGCTGAATGAAACACACCAGCTCCCCGCCCAGAAACGTCCCGAGTCAACCAAAACAAAAGAAAACATGAAAATCCAGTCAGAGGACAGACATCGACACAGTTATAGAGGCTCAGAAGTGATGCTCGAGTGGCTTTACTTTTGTATAAGTCTATATTTTCATTTTTTAAGGACAAAGCTACTGACTCTACCTTAAATAACTGAGAATTAAAAAAACATTTTCTTGGTAAGGATCCCTAGAGTGGTCAAAATTAGTGGAAGCCAGACTTTGTGGTAAACAGAAAACGTCTCAGTGTTATAAACAAAATGTTGACTTTGTGCAATGTGGTGCTAACTTTGGAAAAGATTGATTTTAACACATAATTTATGTGCTCGAGGCAGATATCACTCCAAGGATGATTCAGATGGCTTCACTGTTTTATGAGTGTTTTATAATTCAGAGCCTGTTTACAGTCTTAGCAGCACTGAGCCCTGCAGATCGGGCTTGATGCATCTCACAACAAAACCACACCGAGTTGGATAACGGGTTATCTGTGATCTTCCAGGGTTTCGCTGTTACGCTAAATTCCACCGGAAGCGGCGCGTGACCAGGAGGAGGGGTCGCTGCGTGGTGCCGGAGTCGGTCAGCAGTGACCAGGGAGGCTTCATCACGATCTGAGGAAGAGGAGGACACAGGGAGGAGCTTTAAAGGAGGAGGAAGTGGATTAAAGACGTCAGAGAAGATAGTTCAGCCATGACATCACATGATACTGTTACGTGCTGAAAGGTGACGGCTCACTGGTTTGTCAGTTTTAAAATGTGATTCGAGATACGTTTTAATAAAACTTCAGATTAATGGATATCCTGTTAGAATGTTTCAACACGGGCTCGAGACACGAGTCGTTACTTCCAACTCAAAGAATCACAGTCTTTAAAGCTGGCTACACACTAGACGATTTTCTAATCTCCAATTTAGTTCTGGTTTGTGTGTGCCCATGTACAGGGGCTTAGTCCTCCAAGCGGGCGACCCGACCTGAGGCTCCTTTCCTGCATGTCATTCCCAACTCTCTCTCCTGTCCTGACTAGAAATAAAGGCATACAAAAGCCAAAAAATAACAACCTTTTGAAAAAACAGAAAATGAGAAAAACAATATGGATGAAATCCTGGCTGAGAAGACGGATTATGTGCATTTTTTTTATTCAATTTGCAGCACGAGCTGAGGGTGAGTTGACAGAGTACGCTTCCAAGTCTGCTCGCTCTCATTGGCTGCTGTGAGGACCTGGCATCGTAAGTATCAAACATATTTGATATTTATGATTCCAGATTTGGACAAAACATTATGTATAGGACAAGCCTCGAATCAGGCCACGCCCCCCCAGATCATTTTGGGGGCAAATCGGGCCTAAAATCGTCTATTATGTGGTCAACTTTACAAGTTAAAATGCGTACATCAGTTTTAATTCAGATCTCTTTTACTCCAGCTTCACATGCAGCACAAAGAAAACCTGAAGAGAGACTTTATCAAAGTTTACGAGGTCACCATGGAAACGTTTCTAGAAAATGTCTTATTATTTATTTTAAACTTGGCATTAAGGATACGCACGGCTGGCAGCATTTTCCCCCGTCTCTCACAGTTTTCCTCCATCTGAATGTCTCTCTGTCCTGCCTCTCTCAAAGTCAGACAATGTTTACAAGTCATCATTTTTAAGTATCAGATTCCTCTTCTTGGATTCCCAAATGGGAGGCTTTGACCGCTTCAGGATGATATCGAGGAAGCACAAAAGAAAATGACTCTCAGCTTGTTTCTGTAAACCTGTTTGAACGCAGTCTGCTGTCCTGTCCTGTAAATATGAATGTTGTTGACCCCCCCCCCCCAACTCGACTTCTCTTCAAATGTACGTTAAGAGTAGAATGATAAACAAAGATGCTTGTTTGACCTTCTTTTTACACGTCTTATTAATATATGTTTTATTTATACTCGACCTAATCATCTCGAATTGTGTTTTTCAGTATTTTTGTTTGTTTGTTTCATGATTAAAAACTTACTAGGATAAACATTTTGATGTGTATACTTTATTTTCAAAACTAATCTTTATCAACATACGGCATTATTAATATTGATCATGTTTTTAGTCCTTCCAGAGAGGGGGCGTGGTCAGACACAGCTCATTTGCATTTAAAGCTACAGACACAGAAACACCCTGTTCTGAGCAGGGCTGAAATAGAGGGGGTTATAGACATGATTGAATACAGGATCAAAGTGGTAAACAGACAGATGCTTCCTTGTGACACTTCAGTAGAAGAGTCTGTTGGGGCCCTAGACAAAAACCAATTAGGGACCCTCAAACCAGCGTTCATCACCATCATGTCTACCAGTGTCCCAACGATTACTCCTCTTCCTCTTTTTTTCCTGTTCCTGTTTTCTCTCCTATAGACGGATAATTCCTCCTCTTCTTTTGTTGACTTTCATTGACAAACTTTGGTTTTCACAGCCAATAATGCATGCAACACTTAGCAGGGCAATGAGAGTTAGTGCTGTCAGATGGGGGCCTCTTAGGGAGGTTTCCTACTGTCGTTGCAAAATTAGCACATTTTTGGACACTGTTTTGGTTTAAAGGGGGACTTAGCAAATTTGGTGAGGTTTGAAAGTTGGAGAAGTGAAACAATTCTATGCTATATTTTCTGAACTAAATACACAAACTTTATTCAAAGGAAATAATTGATCCCTGGACATTGTTTGGAGCAAAAAAGCTACCAGGAGAGGGTTAGGGTAAGTTTGTGAGCCCTCAGGGGCTGGTTTTGTCAGATAAATCTATTCCAAACATTTAATCTTGGCTTGAAAAAATAAGAGTTTCTGAGTCAGTATTCAGACTTCAATCTTTCTCCACGCCTTAAAAACGAACGCTGCAATCTCTGCAGCTCATTATCACCCAACCACCCCGAACTGCGTCAGATCCTTTTAACACAGTGCTTACGACACATTAGAGCAAGTACAAGCAATAACAGTTGGCACGTCTCTGTGAGAACACACAGGGCCTCTGAACATCTATCCGTATCAATATTTGATTAGATGGAGAAAGTGAGACTAATTTTTCTTTCCTAAACCAGCAGCTCAGTCAGACCGTGATTGTGCCATCCTGATTTACGGCTGCAGAATAAAAGCAGTGGTAATGTATTTTTAATACTTACCTCTGACAGAGTGCTCGGGTTGGAGAGCCCAACAGTTCAGAACCTGGACAACAGCCAGCCGAGTGATAGATTACACACGGCCACATCCCGGCAGAGCTGCAGCTTCGCATCACCAGCAACACAAAGGCACTTCCATCTTTCTTAAGGCTTCCCTCCAGTAATTAATTACAGAAGTTGCTGTCTTAACCTGAACTTTTCCCCATCGGCAAACTCTCAAAGGACAAAGGTACAACGGTGGGAACAATTTAAATGCAGAAATACAAAGCTGTAGGAAATTCTGCACTCTTTCCACAGCTCAGAGATGATAAAAAAAGGCAAATAATTTCATGTAAAAAAGATAACATGTTTAGAAATCAGTGCAGAAGATGATTCTTAAACATGTTGTTTTTGTGCCCTGGCCTATATGCACTCAATCCTAGACGACAAATTGCAGCAGCTGATTCCAATATGAAAGTGTTAGATTACTTGCAATAGCATTAAAACTCTGAAAATTATTACAAAAATGACATATGTTTTAGATGTGTCTCTTGCAATCAGACACACTGAAGCACACTCAGCGTTTTACGTGTTCACTTTCAAGTATTCGGTGCATCAAGTTGACAGACAGAAGCATGTTTTAATGAATGAAAAACACCAAACACTCACTCTTCCTCCTCTGACTTCACATCACTCCCTCAAACCCCTCTGTTCTTTTCCCTTCTTCTCTCATTAATTTAATACGGGAGAATGAAAAATCAAAAAAGACACGCACATCCCGCGGAGGGTGCTGGATCCAAAAACACGAATACGAGGATGAGGAAGAGCATGTTGCCTCCAAACATCACTCAGGAGCTTCTTGGTGTGCGGATCTTGATTGCTTTTCTTTAATACGGGACAAACCACTGGGGCTCCATACAGAGAGCAACGTAGCGATGCCCCCCTGCCCCACCCAACCAGAGTCTAAACCCCTCTGGTGTCCTGACGTCGTACCAGCTGAAAATAGTCCATCTGTGATGATTCTGTTTTGGTATTGTTGTAGGTTTTTTTTGTGTTCTCCCTCCTTCTTATTCTCCCCCTCCCCTTCCTGTTCTCTTTCTCCTGCAGGTATGTTTGGGGTGTGTGGGGTTGGGGGGCTTCTTCCTTTAGCAGCAGAAGAGGCCCACCTGCTTCCACTCAGCTTATTAACCTGACAATAAAAGCCTGCTCTTCACTCCACTACTCTGCACGACATCTTGATCTGTAGTGCTCTGTGTACTTTCCCTGAGTGTTTTTTGAAGTGTCTTTAGTGTTTAAGTGTTTAAGTGTTTAGCTGCCTATTTTTGTTCCTACCTGTGTTTCCTCCAGTGTTTAGATTTCCTGTGTGCCTCGCTGCTCTGCTGCGTCTTCAGTGCCTGAGTTTTTTCCTGTGCTCAAGCTCTCGTGTCATCTTTGAGTTCATCTGTTCACAGGTGATGATTCTACAAGCCATCCAGCTCCAATGTGGCCGTATGCGTTCACACATACAGCTGGCTAATATCAGGAGTTTCTCCAGAACTTTCTGCAAGCCAAACTAGAAACCTTTTGATTGTTTGAATTTTTTTTTAAAAGTGCAAGAAGTTGGAACATTAAAAAGACAATTCTGTAGGTGTACTGTAGGGAGTTACTGTGTATCATAAAACGGTTCATGTATAACACTGTGAAAATATCTAAATTGAAAAATGCAGACGCTAAGTCAAATCTGTCTAAAGTTTAACACCCACCAAAACAAGTCAACATATTCACATCTGTATTAATTTCATTCTTTTTAACACTTTGTTTCTCGTTCTGTAATAATGTGGTGACAAATGCAAAGATGATGTTGGCTTTGATACGATTCAATTCAATGAGCACTTTTACACAAAACCAAAGAGTTTTCTACCCTTATGCTTCTTAATCAAACGTATTTGATTGTCTGTGTATTAAAACAATTCATTATTGTATTTATGTAAAAACATCTGCAGGATACTTTAAGGGAAGACAATATTTAGACTTGCTCAAGGCACAAAAAGAGGGAAGTATCAGTAAAATTTGTTGTAAAAAAAAATAGGTGCAGTATCATCTCATGAAATGCAGCATTTGAATGATAACTGAGCAAAATCGAACGTTATTTTCGAAAGCCTCAAACCAGCTGACAAAGGACGTTGTGAATACGGAGTGTCAGTCAGACAATGGCCACTTCAGCACTTAATCTGATCAATTTAGAGCTAACTGAGTGAGTCTGTGTCTGTTACGATCTTCTTTACTTACAACAACCAAGACTAATATAATTAGAGAGTGAGGAGACTTTGTTGCCTTGGGGTTAAAACATCAATCTGATCACACAATTTCTCATAGGGAGTCAAAACATTCCCAGTTGTTTTTCTATGACGGTTTCTACACTCTGTTTCTATAAAGAGTTAAGAAATGTCAAAATATGCCTTGATACCTTAATGTATGATGGAATTTGGAAAAGTTGCTTCAGCCCCTCTTTGAGGAACAGATAGGCGTAGTTCCCCCTTGCTAATCACTGTTAGCATGCTAGCATTCTAAATTTAAGGTGGTAAATGTTGAAGCGGCTACATTTGAATGTTAGCATATCGTTCTGGAGTGTGTTCGCATACTGATGTTAGCGTTTAGCTCAAACCAACCTTGCTGCCTCAGAGCTGCTAGCATGGCTGTAAATTCTTACTTTGTTACATCTGTTGCTGTGCCTATTGTATGGTCATTTGAATTTTAACATTTTAAAGGTTAATCGTCCTTAAAGGCGCGTCCTGTTGGCTATACTATACTTTTACTTTACCCATCTTTAGGAAAGGAAGGTTTTGTTTTGTATTTCAAGTCCAGGCTGTTAACCCAGCTGCTAACCATGTCTTAATTTCGCTCCATGTTTAAAGGCATTAACTGTGTTTCCTTTGCCAACTAACATTGCTAATTACTTTAGCTTATAATAACAATATTATATGATTATATGATATTAGCATTTAGCTCAAAGCTGTCTGTAAAAGCAGCCTTGGAGTTATTAGCACTCTTATCTTAAAATGAAAATCTTTTAATTATCTTCCTTCCATCCTTAATTTCTTATTTCTTGATATTTTTTCTGTTTCTATCCACTATGGCGAGGTCAAGGGATGGTCTTTGAGAAACAAATATTTATCCTACTGCTTAAGAGATAAGAGGTTTGTTGTTCTTTTATATTTGCTGCTCCACAAGTAGCGCAAGTGTTGTACCACCCAGAGAATATTTGCAGAGCTATAGTTTTATATACTAGGTCTGAGAATATCCATTTATTTAACAGCTCCTTTCTAATAAAATAAATATTTTAGCCTTGCTAATTAGCCTAATAAGAAACTGTAAACATACTAACATACTATGACAGTGAACTCATGATACTCATCATGTTTGCATTTCCATTCTCTGAGCATGTTAGCATCGTACATTAGCATTAGCATTTAGCTTGAAGGCAGCTCTTTTTACAAGCCGTTAACTGTTTCATTGATTTTCTCACTTAAATTAAAACATTTTGATTCATATTTTTACTAGGTAATGTTTCTGACATTTTTACAGTCTGCAAAATATTAAAATTAATTGATGAAAGATTGGCTGCATGGATTAGAAAGGGATTCTGATAAAAACACAAACCACTGTACAAATCTTCAATTTCACACACTGGTTCCTGAGTCAAACGCTTACTTAAGCCTTTTCAAATCATGCCACTGCTATTGACATGTGATTTGTTGCGTGCAAAATCGATTAGTTCCCCTGACAAGTTGAAGAAGTCAAACTGAGCCCTTGTGAATCTTTGTAGCTTCAAAATACATTTTGATATCTGTTAGCCCAACTGAGAAACTGAGCAGGTAGTTTCATTTTTAATTGTAAAACATTAAAACAAACATGTCGCAGATCTGATCATTTACAGCTGAAAAAAAAACTGTGACCAATGTTATTTCTCATGTGGTCTCTTCCCTCTTAAGACACTGAAGGCCAGAACAGAGCAGCAGGAAGAGGAGGTGGAGGAGGAGGGTGGCAGTCACATGGGAAGCAGTCAGGCTGCTGTCACATGGTTTTTGTTTGCAGGCTGAGCTGAGGGAAGGAGGAGTTTCCACCAGAAGTTTGTGTAAAAACCTGCACTTCTCTTTCATGTAGCCCCCCTCAACAACTAGTAGAGCTGCTCCAACCAAACTTCCATTAAATATTATGGAAATTCCTGCCATAAATCTAAAGGTAAGTTAACGTTTTACATGTTTTAAGAGTTTGAAGTGTTTTTAACCAAAGACTGTTGTAAACTTGTACCTCAGCTTTCAATGGTAGTTCTTCTGTTTTGCAACTACCTCTTTCTGCTTGTGACAGATCAGCTCACTAGCGACATATCAGTGGATTTTAGAAGGTATTTAAGAGAATTCCCCTCAACAAAAGTTAATTTAAGATCAGTGAATTGAAAGTTATGTTTTCATTGCTAAGCAACAGCCCTATAGAAAGAGTATTTATCCCTTTGTGGATGTTAGAAAGCAAACATAGTGATGAAATCACCTACAAACAAGATTCTTAATGTATAACTTTCAAACCAAACAAGAGCTGTTGGAAAAGTTCATGCAATGCTTGATAAGGAAATAAAATGTATAAACAAGGAAGTAACTTTTCTGTATGTGCACACATCAGTGTGTTGATGCCTGGATGGCACACCAAAACTTTTAAAAATGGAGAACCATGACAATAAAAGAAGCCTTTGTCTTTTTCTTTGAGGCTGAAATGGCTCCAATGCAGGTTGAGCAACTTCATTTCAAAGCTCAGAAACTTTTCCCTCTCAACATGCGATGTGAGAAGTTAGAACATAAAAATGAAGGAAGTGTAGAAGTTGCTTAAGGAGAACCTACACAGTGAATCATTTCTGGTTCATAACTTTAATGAGAAGTCAGATGAGAAGTCGCTGGAGCCTTGAAATCAGACAACCTGGTGCAGCTTCACATGTTGCATCTGATGCAAGCTCATCACATGTTTTCCATTTCGCTCTGGAGTTTCTGTCATCTGATCTCAAATGAACTGGCAACGTCTCTTATCACAAATTCTCCCTGATTTTCAATTATTGTATTTACTAAGTTGCTAATGCATGAATGAACGGTTTCCTTTGTTGAATGCCAGAAAAAATATTGGAGTGTGCTCTTGTCAAGATCAGAGTTTACGCCTCATAATGTCCAAACGACATCTTTAACACAGAGAGGTTTAGTTTAGTGAAAATGTAAAATATTCAGATGTTGGAGCCTTGACTGTTTGGAGTTTGATTGATGAACTATCTGTAACCTGTCTTAAAATTTGTAGATACATTTTCTGATGTCCCAGGGTTACATTCTGGAAAATATTTCATATATTCTTTAAACTTTTTTTAAAGGCTTCTCCTTTCTCTCTATTTTCCAGGCCATAGTGCTGGTACATTGGCTGCTTACGATATGGTGAGTCCTGCACAGTGTTTTTCTTCACAAACCTGAGGAATTTCTCTCCTCTTCTTGCACAAACACATCATCACACAGAGACTCAGAGTCTTGATTCATGCCTACTTTTGAACCTGCTCGTCTCATACTGAGATGCGACGCTGTCTTGTATAATTTTTCTCTTTTTTTTTTTTATCCTGCAGGGGTTGCATGGCGTGGCTGCCCTACTCTTATTCATGGGGGAACTTCAGTGTTTTAGCAATCGGGGTTTGGGCCATTGCACAGAGGGACTCGATTGATGCCGTGCTCATGGTGAGTTTTTTTTGTGTGTGTGCCTCGATTCCTTCACACTGGCTGTAATCTTAACATCATGTGACACGTACAGGAGTCTAACTATAGGCACAGCAATGCGTATCCGTGCTAACCTATTTGTCTGAGGAATCTGGGACAATCTGTGAGCATCCCTTTGAGAAAGATAGCCTTCTCTTAATTCAGCACGGAGTACAGTAACAGCAGCGTTCACAGTGTATTAGCTAATAGCAGCAGTCACACAAAAGGTGTTTCAGGCCACTCTGGCCATGTTAGTGCTGCTTTTAGGTTAGCCTCGTTTGATTTGGCAGAAATTAAAACTGAGTTATTTTAAGCTCCAACAGGATGGAAACCCAACGACCCCTCTGAACTCTGTGGTTTCTGTGGTAACAAGCAATGGCTCCTAACTGTTCCACCATGGCTAGTGAGTCCGCCGTCCAAATGTTTAGTGGAAGTTTTAAACAATATTTAACAAAATCAAAGTATTTCATAATGCATAGTGACGATGGTGTACATCTGATAGTCACTAAAGCAGCAACCAGAATAAATTGAACTGATTGAAAACAATTGCTATGGCCAAAAAAATAAATAAAAAATTGGTCCACGAGTCCGCTAATAAGTCCTAATCAGTGGTTTCTTGAAGTTGACTTGAACCAGAGACCCTATTGTGCCCAACTCAAGTCCCTACAGACTTAACTGGTTTATACAAAGGTTCTTGAGTGGTCAGTAAAGTTTTGAACCCTGCTGAAGCCTCTCAGCTCTGCTAAGAGTCCGCACCTCATTAAGATTTATGCCACTGGAAGTTTTTGGACTAATTCAGGCCTCACTCAGTTTTCTTAGGAAAGTCCAAAGGTTCTTACTCAGAAAATCCAGTCGGTCAGTTTGAATGTAGATATTAAGGCTGACTATTGGTGCTGTGTTCCTGGAAGGTGTCGCCCTAATTGGCCCAATCAAAACTGCGCCAGTCAAACCAGATCAGCTACTGGAACCTTTCACTGCAAGATTGCTTTGATTTAATGCAAGGTGTGTCCAGTCCTCTATCCCAGCAGCTACCAGCTTTGCAGTCTGTGGTGTGCTGAAATCAGGTTTGATGCACGACTGTGTGTGACTGAGCTGGAAGTGGAAATATTTTGTGTATTTGTAAGAATAATTCCAAAAAGAATTGCAGAACTCAATGCATCAAGTCACATGATGGATTTTAAATCATTTTAAACAAGAAAAACAAAATATGTTGGTAGGCTATTTCAAATGTATTTTTTTAGATTTATTTTTAGGCTTTTTCCGCCTTTAATGTAGCGATAGGAGAGTGGATAGAGTCAGAAATCAGGGAGAGAGAGAGTGGGGAAGGGAGCCATAGGTCAGATTGAAACCCTGGCCGACATCGGCTTGGACAACTACAGCCTCCACACATGTGGCGCGTTCACCAACCACTATAGGCTACTGTATTTAATTTTTTAACTCAAACACAACTCGAATGAAAGTGTCAGTAAATAAGTCAGACATGTTTTTAAATGGAGGAAAAGCCTCAATTTAACCTGAAATCAAGTATGTCCGACATGAAGATATCAAGAACAGGTATGTGCAACAACGACAGTTCCCTTCAGTTCCACGTTTTAGGCTATCTTTGTGAAAAATGGCTTCAGGCTGTCAGAACAAATACGTGACAGCTAAGGGTCAGGAAGAAACACCTTGAGTAAGAAACCTCCTGCCCAGAGTGATTTCTAAAGACACTTTTGACAGTTATGGATTCTGACAGACGTAGCCATCGGTCAGAAAGCACAGGGGAGCCCCTCTCACCACGGGTCCGTCAGAAAGGACTCCAAGATGGAGTAAAAAAAATCCGATCTGTGAGTTATACCTGCTTCCTCATGTGCCGTATATTCTACTGTATATATATCTATATTTGAGCATTGACTCCAGGCTTTGCTCAATCTCATGAGTCTGAAGTGATTTCTCTTTGTAAACTCATCAAATATTTAACCCACATTTTCTCTTTGTTTCTGGCAAAATATGGATTTGCCTGTCCAACATGTTAAAGGCAACAGAGAAAGTGTCTGTTCTTCTACGCTGCCTTCATATTTCACTGGTGTTACTTTCCCTCTAGTGTACTGTGTGTGGGGAAATTTGTGTGAATATGAAGACGTACTCGAGAAAAACTTAAATAATGTAATGGAGACACTGGAGATATTTCTTTCACTCAGATATTTTGAGTTTGAGTTTGGTTTGAAACGTCCTCTCATTATTGACACCAAAACAATTCATATCATGCAGGAAGAACTATTAATGTTCCTAGAACCCCGTTTAGAGGAACCTGTTTAGCTCCTGCTTCAGAGCATTTAACATGGCGGTGTGAATGAAAACACAGAAAAGTCCCCAGGGTGTTTAGTTCTCAAGGGACTCTTTAGTGGATGGTTAAAAAAGTCCCCAGAACTGTTTGGTTGTAGATGGCCATGAGATAAAAAAATCACGATGGGGTTAGTAATGTCAGACTTCAAATATTCAAGAAAAACAAAAATACAATGTAGGTTGAAGAGCCTGACACTCTCTTCTCATCTAACACACCTCTCTCTGTTTATCTCCTTCAGTTCCTGATGGGGATGCTTGCCTCGATATTGACCGACATCATCCATTTCAGCATCTATTACCCGACCAATGACCTGTCGTTAGACCGGGGGAACAACGTGTTTCGCTTCAGCGCTGGCATGGCGATCCTCAGCCTGCTGATCAAACCCGTGTCCTGCTTCTTCGTCTACCAAATGTACCGCGAGCGTGGAGGCGATTACAACGTTAACTTTGGTGAGTACAGCAGCATGAAGAGTTTTGGGAGTGATCATAGATTTATCGTTTAGAAGGGGAAATAATTAGAACATGAAACTTTCCCTGGATGGGATGCACACATCTGTGGCCCAGTGACCGTCGATACAAAGCTGTTTCACACAGAAGATGATGTGTCACCTTGAAACTAAACTACTACAACCTAAGGTCATAAACTACACCTAACCAGGCGTCTCATTTCAGACAGTTTCAACAAAATACAACAAAACAAATGCAGGCTGTATGAGGTTTCAGGAAATATAACGGGGTGTAGGCTGAATTAATTATCAAAAGGCTGGAGGTGGAGTCCATGGGTGGAGATACCAGGGGAGGGGAGGGGAGGGGATTTTTTTTTTAAACCAGAATCCCACTGTGACATCACAAGGAGAGCAAATTTGAAACGGAGCATTTGTCTCTGTGTTGTAAGACTTATGCAGACCACAAACAAACGACTGGATGGGTTTATTTCACATTTTGTGGGTCAGTAGAGACTCAGGTTACCCAAATATATTTTCAAAAACACTGTAGCAGGGGATTTTTCATAATATGACCCCTTTTAAAGGGAGTTCTGGTTAGAAAGTAGAGCCACTACTGACTAGATTCAGTCTTAAAAAATACATAAAGAGGAGTATATTGTCGCGCAAACATAGAAATGTCTTCCACAATTCAGTAAGGTGTAAGAGAGGCAGATGTTGCACACAAAAAATACAACAAAACAAGGTTTCTTTGTGCAAATACACCTCTTACTAAAAGTGCAGTCTAATATCTGTACTCTGAGGTTTTCCACTCCCCACAAATATACAACCCCCTCACCCCGAGTGTGACCAAAGCAGGCTGCATGGTGTGATGTGTGTGAGTGTGTCCAGCCGGGCTTTGAGCTCCTCCCTGTGTTGTTTAATGCAGTTGGTCATGAAAGTCCAGCCAAGTGCAACACAAACTGGGAGGCCTCTGCGTTAAAGCAGCGGCAGACGATTCCACAGTCAAACTAATAAGTCAGAGTCACAAGATGTTTCAGATGCGGCAAAAAAATATCTTGTGCTGCAGCCCGGAAATGATTTCTTCACGAGTTGTTTATAACATTTAAGAGACACCGTTTTCCACTGCAGCAGGGAGGAACAAATTGAACTCCAAAGCAGGCTGGGAAACGTACAATGCACCGTGATTGAAAACGTCACAGGATTAATGTGAAAGCAGCAGAGGCGGCGTGCACAGATTCAGTAGTTTTGCGAGTTGTTGACTGTTGATACAGCTCTCGGCTTGTGTGAGCAAACAAATGATAAGTACACTTCTTCCACTGAGCAGTCAGGAGAAGCTCATGATTAAAGTGTGTGTGTGTGTGTGTCCATTGATTTTTGGACTATCTGAGAGCTTTTCCATCAGAAATCTCAGTAAGCTGCGACATCTGCTGGACCTCTTAAATACTTAAACATGTTATTCATGGCATCATCTCTGAGAAGCAGCAGCTGTATTTATCATTTATTGTGCAGAAATGCAAAAGGGATTCCTTACAGGGATAGTGTCATTAAAAAAACAACAAATGACTTAAATCAAGAAGTCTGGATCTCGTTTTTTATGAAGTGTAACGTCCTCAGATAAAACAGTCAAGTTATTAAACGACACACTGGGAGAGTAATGAAATCTCTCCTGCATTGTGACAATCTCCTGACAAAGTGCGTCTCTTGGTTTGTCTGTTTGGAGGATAATTGAATATTGATGAATCTCCTCACACACACACACACACACACACACACACACACACACACACACACACACACACACACAGCAGGTTCACTCTGATTGGCTGTGTAGTGACTGATGAACGTAGCTAATGTTCGTTTCAGACAATGTTTGCTTTTAATTTCTGTCTGATTGCATAGCCAGCATTAAAAAGGTCTCCCGCTGTGCAAAGCACTCTGGGAAACCAGGCAATCAGGTGCATATAGGCGTGAATTGTTGATTCAGGCATAAAAAGGATCCCTGCGTTGTGATTGGCGGCTGTCTCATGCTTGTTCAAATCATTCTGCTTTTCTGTATTTTGTGTCATTTTAATGTTGCTTTCATACGAGAGAGAGAGCGAGCAGGGAGAACATTAAATTACCTCCCCTGAATTTTTGTCCAATCATCATTCAGCTGGTTAACGTGGCAGCATGCACGCCTGTCAGGGTTTGGATTTTTGTACATGAAGGAGCAGTGTGAGTAGGGCCTCTGCTTGAGGCTGGCTGCAAGAGCCTTAAAAGTCACATAGGCCTACACACCCAGCCAAAAAAGAAAAAGAAATTAACACATTTACAGACTGGTATAAAACATGAAAAAGGTCTGAAAGTTATTGTCCTCATGGGTAAACACTGTATGGGTGTATGTGCGACAACAATGATGTCACTGATGGCGCACAATGTGTGAGTGAGTAGTGACTGAAATTATTTATATAGTGAGTTTGGATTTAGAATGTGCAGTTCAACAGGAATAGCAACGGTAACTAAGGGAGGGCGTGGTTTGGCAAGCTAGTAAGTTAATTCCTTGCAATGAGATCTAGCTGTTAATTTGTAATCCTCATGTGTTACAGACTATAAAAAACCTTCATGCTCCTATTCTTTTTTTTTTTGCTTGTCATCATTTCTGACCTCTAAGTCTTCTTCGCTGTCACTCTGCCATGTTTTTTACTTTTGTTGTCTTGTGTTTTTTCCTGTTCTGATTTCACCATTTGCCTCTCCTTTTTTTGTTTCTGTTCTCACCTCCCCGGCTGACTCTGACCTCTCAGACTTTGAGACCTCTGTGGACAGTCGATGCACCACGGATAGTGCTGACAGTGCTTTTATTGGCCGCCGCTTTTGAACACCCCCGGCTTCTTCTTCTTCTTCTTTCACCATTTCTTTCCTCCAATCATCCTCTTCCATCCCCTGCCACACAACTCAGGCTGCAGGGCAAAATTCAAACTTTTTCCCTCTTTTATTTCTTTCCCAAATGTAATCTCAGTTCTTGATGTTTCTCTTTTTTTCTATTTGTTTTTTCAACTGTTTATTCTCGCCTCAATCAGCCCTCCTTATCGTCTCCTACCTGCCTGATTGTGTTTGTCAGATCATGATTTTTGTGTTCACCTCTGTTGTTTTATATGTGTTTGTATGTTTCTGAGAGTTTGCTTCTGTATGTATTATTTATATTCTGTCTTCTCTCCAGACACCTCATTTGTGTTTTTGTATTCTGTCTGCATATTTCAAGCAGAGCTGCATCATGATGCTGCACATTCTCATATCTGCCTAATTACGCTCGACATAACGTAGACTTTTAATAGCAATGACTGTGACCTGTTTCTAAGTGTTTCTGAATAAGCTGCAGCTCTTTTAGGGAAGTATGACTGTGACTCTATGCTTTTAAATAAAGTTAAATTTTAAATAAATCACATTTGAGTTTAGTAGAATGAACACAAACCTTTGATAAATCATCATTATGTGGTGCATGTTTGTCACAGAAAAAGGACTCGGGGCCATGCAGAGGTAAGAGTGAGCGCTCCTTTGAACTTCAAGAAAAACATGTTATTACTATTCTGGCCATGTCAGAGATGGGGGGGGGGGTCCTTTAAAACTTTTCAGATGGATTACGTCAGTAAATAGTCTTTATAGAATTAATTATTAAGCATATTAACATTGGCACAGAGTGTGTGCTACTCCAAATAATCCCAGATTAAAAGGTGCTGCTCACGTGAGAAGATTGTTCAAACTCTAGTTCACAGATTATTGATGTTGTTGTTCTGCTCCTGCTAATCAGACGGTCGAGGATGTAAAAAAATGATGAAATGGGAGGAACTGTTTCCGACAGTGTGTCTGTCGAGATGAGGAACAAATTCAATCAATTTAAGATTTTTAAAAAAAACTTTAGCTGTGTTGGGAATCTGAGTGTGAGAAGGATTGAGAACCTGATTCACAAAGAATCGATTGTGGCTGTGGAAAATCTTAAAAAAAAAAAAAATTTGCAAAATTTGCTCCCGTTATGCTCCGTCTCAAAGTCTGATACACAAAGTGCAGCGTGATAAGGGCTTTAGTCAACAGCGCCTGTTTTGCAAAACCAATGTAGTTCAGCGTGGTGTCAGTGTGTGTTTTTGTATCTGCGCTCAAAGCAACTATTATTAGACGTTAATGTCACTTCTCCCTCACCTACAAATCAAGAAGGGGGAGGGGGGGAGGCGTGTGATACCGGCTTTATCTTTATGTAGCTTTATGTTTTTAGTCGTACGACCAAAATTTCGAACATGCCAGAAAATCATCCGAGCAGTCAGGAGCAGCTGATTAGGTTGTGATTGGCTGCCGTGTCCGGGGGAAGGGGTCCCCGTACACTGAACAACTAACGACACACAATGGTCTGAAATTTGGCCCAAATTCAAAAAATGTTGTCATACTACCTTAAAGAAATCTGGTCAGTACAGTGTAGACCTGTCTTTAGATGTCTTCTCAATTCTGTACTGAACTTTCTCCTCTGTGTTTGTAAATTAGACATTTTTTCAGTAAGGCAGATTTGCACAGAAATGGTCCAACTTTTCCCTAAATTACTACAACAAATGGCTCATTTGAATGCATGCACAAAGACAGTGTTTGCTCTGTGGCGCAGTCAGGGGTACATTTAACCCTTTACATGTGTACTTGGAATTAGACGGTGTCTTTTGGACTGGTGCCGAAAGGCAACGCAATCCTTTTTGTGAATCAGGACCTGAGTGTAGACTATGATGGCTGTCAAGAGACAAAACATTGCAACAAGGAAAAAACCAGGCTGCAATTTCAAAAAGTTAAAAAAACACATAACGAACAACAGTAACGTGCAAACAAATACATTAACAGCAATCACACTGCAAATACAAAAAACAATACTGAAGTCCTATAAAGTATTTGCCTTCTATTTGCTGTCAGTGTATTTTCTTGCAGCTTCCGTCAGCACTTTTGTTGTTGTGTTTGTTTTGGAAATGGCATTGTGTCTCCATTTGCAGTCCTAATGGAAATCTTTTGTGCTGTTGCAGTGTGTCTGCCCTTGCCAGCCACCATAGCAATCCTTTAAAAACCAAGAAAAGGAATAGTGTTAAAGAATGGTTTGTATGCACACAGCTTTAAAAATCTCTGATTATTAGTAGATGAAGAGTGTTCATATGATTATTATGAATATTAATAATACAGAGTCATGGCGGGGGTCTTTGTGTGTTGAAGACTTTGTGGGCTTCTCTCTGCAGGTTTCCCTTCAGTAACTCGAAACAGAGACGCCTACCAGTCCATCGACCAACAGGAGGAGTCTTCCGCCCCGGCGAACCCCTTCAACCAGCAGCAGGAGGTCAAAACAGCAGCAGCTCGCTCGTACTGAGAGGAGCAGCAACAATGCAGCATTTCCCTCTCCGCCCTCTTATGCAGCAGTGCAGCTCTTCGTTTACACTTCACATAAGTATTTATATTTTGTACGGGGGGGGGAGGGGGGGGTCTGCAGAAAACAGAATTTGATACATGTATGATTGGTGTGTTTGAATAAAATGCAGAGTAGTAACCCAATTAAATTCTCCCGTCAAAGGTCAGAACATTTTTTTTGCTGAGCTGGCACATTGCTGCTGAATAAATACAGAGGAACCCCCCCCCCCCACACACTCCCATGCTGTGTTACTGTTGTGTCTGCCGACTATTTTTAGTAGAGAGTGATGAATGTGTTCATCAGTTTACTTTCCCCCCAGTGAGTCAGTTTTCTAACCGTGGTACACATTAAAGGGATAGTTCTGATTTTTTTAAAGAGGTCGTATGAGGTGATTTTCTACACATAGTTTAAGAGGATGAAATAGTGCAAGCTGTATGTGGACCGAGTCTGCTTCAAAACATACTTTTGCTTCCACTCTTCAAAAGATTTCAGATTAGTTAAAGTATGCTACATTTTCTCACACTAACTTTGTATCAGTTTGGCATTTCTAAGCATGGTGTGCACGATGTTGCATCATAGAGCCTTTTTTTTTTTAACGGGTCAGAAAGTGTGATAACAAGCTAAGTAAGAAAAATTGAGATTCTGCTTTGAATTTTAAAGACAGTGCATGCTTGTGTTCTTTAGCGTTGTTAAAACAGAGAGTTGTCCGGTCATCTTGTAGATTACAAAGAAATCTGTTCAGTGATAATGGACTCACTGTGCCGTCACTCTCTCCTCTGAATATAAACGTCAACACTCCTCATGCAACACTGAGACAACTCCATGTCTGTACTTATCATTAACTCCTGATTAATATGAAAATCAAACGAGGAATGCTTCAGCTAGCATCCTGCTAAATAGCACGACTGAACCAAAACTTATGGAAAGCGAGCGCTTACAAAAAGAAACAACAAACCAAACAACCCCCAGAAGTTTCTCTCTCTCTCTCTCTCTCTCTCTCTCTCTTTCTCTCTCTCTCTCTCTCTCTCTCTCTCTCTCTTCGGGTCAGTCTTAGTTTTTTGTCTCTTCATTAAAGTGAACATGAGCAGCTGATTCGATACTGTGAGCTGCCTGTGTAGGGAAACAGAGTTGTCATGTGGTTAAAAACAAAGTCCCAGATGAGAGAGATAAAGCTGTAGAAATATTAAGTGCAAAAAATAAGTGTACACGTTTTTAGAAATATAGAATATTTTGCCGGTTTATGGAGAGGAAAGCTGAAGAGTGACAATAGACACTGGGAGGAGAGAGCAGGTGAAGACGTGCAGCAAAAGGCAAAGGTCGGATTTGAACCCACACCCGCTGCGACGAGGGGCTATCCAGCGCCCAGAAAAGAAGTGTCTACTTAGTTATATTCATTTTTCTGAATGGGTTGGCTGATTTTACCCAAACATGTCAAGCTAAATATCCACAGCAGAACATGGACTAGCGTCTGTGACACCTCAGCTACATCCTCACCTTTAAAAAAAAAAAAAAAAATCTGAACTATCCCTTTAAGATTAATGTCTGGTACTCTTTATGATCTGTTTACAATGAAATTCACCTTGTTATGTTGCTCCAGTTAGCTTTAAGACACAGCAGCACTTAAAACACTGGATGCTTTCTCTCCTACGAGAGCCTGAAATCACAAATAATGACAATAAACGCCGTGCCTTAGAGATCTACTTCCTGCTTTTGTACTTTTACAACACGATGTGAAGTCAAGACCTTCAAGAAATGAATACCAAACTGAGGTTAAAAGCATTTTTCCCCTCATAACTGAGCAAGAAAAAACCCGCTAGCTTCTGTTCATTTTTCTAAAAGTTTGTTTATGCACATATTAAGAGTACAATGACGTCTGTTATTATGAAATAAACCTTAAAAGTGTTCAAATATAAAACCTTAATATGATTATTATTACACTGATATGCTTAAAAACACGTTTCTTTCTCTATTCAAAACAATTTATTTTAATATTTATCATCATTTTTCTGTAAGTAGGCGACCTCTAGACTTACTGAATTTGTTTTTGTGAAGTTAAACTTCCAGAAAGTACATTTCAGTCCACATGCTGTGCAGCCTCTTTGTTCCTGCTGTATAAAAACACTGTGATGCCAAATAACACATACTATAGAGTGATTTCATTATTGAAACGTTAACAGTACATGTAGCTCCTGAAATGCCTTCACTGTGTCACATTTGTACTCCCTGAATCCTGAATATAAAGTGTGCACTTGATGAAAGCGGTCAGAGTGGCTGCAGGGTTGATTTTTCTCTCTGATTGTGTCATTTGTTTTTTTTTAAAGTAATTTCTCTTTTGAAAGTGTTTCAGGTTATGAGTTCCTGTTTTGAAATCAAATCGTGATATCCTGCAGGAGAAAAAAACCAGGATGTGTTAACCGTGTTGGTCACAGCTGCAGTATGAATGCGTCTTTTACTCGTATAGATCATAAAGGAGGGAAATTATTCTCCTACATACCTCATGTAGTTTAACTTTCATATTTGGTAATCAAATAATAAAACTGTTATTTCCAAATTGTAGGCAACCTGGAACTTTTTAAAGTTTTAATCACAGGCTGTATAAGACATGGACGTAGTGTCAGTGACGTCACACTCTGGTTTCTGAAGAAGCTTTTTGAAGCCAAACGATGGTGGTCGCCATCTTGGAAATGCTGTCTTTCCCTAACTTTTTGTCAGTCCAGGTGGAGCTAAGCCTCCTGGGAAACTGCTAAAGCATGTCCACCTATCAGTCATCTTGGCCCCGCCTCTAATTCTACACATTTATGAATAACTCTTGGATAACGCTTAATTAAAATCAACAACAGATGAGTTATAAAAAAACATGCTCTTTACAGTGTGTACCAAAAATGAAATGAAAGATAACACATTTGTATTTTGAAAGATAGTGTACAAATACACATTTAAAAAAGTTGCCCTAATGGGGGATTGACTCGCTTTGCAGCCCACCTCAAGTGGAAAAGTTGGAAAATTGTATTTAATTTTTTTTAGCTTAATTCTTTAAAAACTAGTCCAACGTCAGAATCTAAATACTCAGACAATATTCTTTACTTTTACTTTACTACGACCAGCCTGTCTGGAAACACACCTGTCTCTTCATTGGGAATGAATAGATGTGAGAGGCTCAAGTTAAGGACTTTAAATGACTGTTACTACGTCTTACAAAATCAAGGTGTTGCTACATTAAGATTGTTTGAGAAAGATGAAAATTAAAGTTGCAAGAAAAAAACGGTATATTTGCCTTAATTTCTCTTCCCCCTTTTTCATTAGTTTTTCTTATAAAAGTAGACGTAATTGTCTCATTTTTCTTTGGCTTTCTAATATTATCTTGAATTTGTTGTTTTAAGGCTGTTTTTTAATGTAAAGGTTGCCTCTGATGAAAAAGGGTTGAAAGGGCCCAACTTGGGCGCTGGTTGGGCTCAGTTGGGGAAGCAGGCGCCATATGTGGAGAGGCATGCAGCTCAGGTTCAACTATTATCATATTGTATTTTAGTATTCCTGACACCTCTACTCTCTCTCCCGACATTTTCTGTCTACCTACACGTCCTGTGAAAACCCTAAAATATATATTTGTTAGAGAACAATTATGTAAAACTTCTTCAAATTTGGTTTTAACAAATGAACCATATGCACTGAAATAAGAAGCACATTGAGGCCGACCCTTCAGTCTCGTCCATGTGAGGTTTCAGATTCCTCTCTCTTGCATTTCTTCTTTCTCTGTTTACTCTCGCCTCCCTCCTCCTCTCAGAGATTTCCTCACTGCCCTGCTTTTATTTATCCAGCCAGACAACACATTTATCTTCCTGCTCTGCGCCCATTATTTGGCACTCCACTGTGCATATTTCCCACAGCCACACAGAGAAAATGCATTCTGTTTTTGCCTTGCCTATACATAATTACATCACATCTTAACAGAAAATAAGGAACTATCTTCTTTTTCTCAAGTGGAGACAACCAAACACCACAACAAAGAGAAGACTTTAAATGCTACTGCATCAGTTTTGCATTGATTAATTCACATCTACTGAATATTGGTTGTCTGCCACACTGTAGGTCAGCCAATAGGAATGTCAGCCAAAGACTGTCAATTAAAAGTAAAAGAATCAGACACTGCACAGATTGTGCAAAACCAAAACATACAGAATGAATCAAATTTATCTGCTGCCTAATTTGCCCCCCCCCCCCCAAAAAAAAAAAAAAAAAAATATGCACCAACATTGTCCTTGATGAAATTTATGTATCTGGTTCTTTTAACTCTGGAAAATGTTCAAGGCTGTTTGCCAAATCGGTCCTAAAACATCGAAAAAGATCATACTGAAAAACTATTTATTTCAGACTTGTCTTGAGAGAAAGCGTCCCACAGGTCATCGTTAATGAGTGACCTTTGTTTATGCTCTATTTATGTGGACCTGAATGGGAGGCCTGTGGAGGAAGAGGATAATGGGGGTGAAGCCTGCTGCTTGCAGGCTTGACACGTCCGCGGGGCTCACACCTGTGATTCCTCTGAGTCAAGGACACACTCGCTCACTCTCTGGCTGCCATTGTTGGTGGAAGCAATAAAAGGAACTCAATTTGTCAGCTCTCTTATTGCGTTAGCGGCGATCCCCGGAGAGGTTTGGAAAGAATGGATTTGTGCTCCAGGACCGCAGACGTCCAACACAATGAGAACACGTCTTTGTATTTATGAAATCCTATTAGCCAGAACATATTTTAAAGGAGTATAGTCTGGTTATTATAACAACATACAGTTTGTGATTGTTTTTAGAAAAGTCACACAACATATGACAAACGACTGATGTGTCTGAGGTAAATAATGATTCAGAAATCATTGATCCTCTGCAGGTTTATTTATTTACGCTCCAAAAATATCAATACCATAATAAAAATAATGAAACCTTGAATTTAACATCTTTATCAAACACAAACGATTGTTCTGGTGTTACGGCATATAAGTGTTGGCTTAAGACTTTCAGTACTGTTTTTTCTGCACAACATTAGAAAAACTAATACTGGTACAATTTTTAAAGGAACTTGATGAAAGGTTTTAGATTTCAGGGAAGGGGGTGTGTCTGAGGTGTTTGCAGCACCGGGCTCTATGTAGACTAGTTTAGTAGAAGCGAGTTGTTTAGCTCAACGCTTCATGAGATAAGAGTCACTATTCTTGGTGGCGGACAAAGTTTCCCTCCCTGCACATTGACTTCAACCAAGTGGCAGCCTCCGGTGTTGAAAAGTCCATCCATCCATCCAATGCGGAAGTGCAAAATCCTGCAGTTCCTCGAGTGTCCACTTGAGGCTGGCTTCAGAAGCACCAGAAGTCACACACACACACCCATTCAAAAAAGGGAATTAAAAAAAAAGAAATGAACGTGTTTGCAGCCTGGTACAGAAAACTAAATAGGTCTGATTAGCTCATGTCTCATTCTGCACACACAGTGGATTATATGTGTTTACTGCACATGACAGTTTTTCTCCCAGAATGCTAGTGTAAGCTCACCAGCAAAATTTATGTCATTAAACATTAAGTTGATGTAGTTGTTGGCTATTTTGTGTAAAGTAGTGTCTATCTATCTATCTGTCTGTCTGTCTGTCTGTCTGTCTATCTATCTATCTATCTGTCTGTCTGTCTGTCTATCTATCTATCTACGTATCTATCATCCATCTATCCATCCATTTGAAAACAAGTGCTTTAAATTTCTGTAGTTATAACGACGTTATTGAATTTGAAAAGTAACTTGATACACGACTAGTTACCGGAAAAGTGGTGTAGCTGAAACGTTTTACTCCTAACATCGGTAAAAAATAAACTAAATCCAACTCCCTTGTATCATATAAGGCTCACCTCAGCAGGAGTCTGCTGTCTCTAAATGTCATGCTAGTTGTATATTTTGGTTATTTTTGAGTCATTTTGTAATTTGTCTTTATTTCTACTATACATTTTTTTGGTAAAAATGTCTTGTAATCTTTCACCATCCTTTATTTAGTCTCTCCATACACTGATAACAAAAACACCTCAGCATACTTACTGAGTACTTTTTCATTAATTTATATGGATAAAAATGCAAACAGCATGTCATCTCCTTCTCACACTTCTGCATGTAGGTCAAACAGGATGGGAGTAAAAAAATTGACCCTCAGTGCTGCCTAGGTCAAATCAAACCCTCAGCGATGACTCGAGGGTTAATTATGCAGCACGGGGTCAGTGAGCGATAAAGATTATTGACACGCTTTGATTTACACATCTATAATCGAGTTTAAGGTGCATAGAAGAAATAATTTCTAGTCTGGATGAAATCTCAGTAAATGAAGGGATAGAGAGATATTCTCCATATCCTCAACATCTCATTAAACCCTCCCCTACCTGACGGAGGTGCTCAGTGACCAACAGTTAGAAAACATGAAAACGAGGGTCATGCTAAGAAGACCCTCAGAGATTTATCTTATGTTCATATGTGAAAATTGATTCAGGAATGACATTTTTATGCCTCAAGCATCTCGAGTCCCCCTGGGAGAGCTCCCTGAACCCTCAACCTTTTCACATGGCAGCCTCGTGCATCTGTCACCGACGATAACGGCATCAGAATTGATTCCAATTACACTCCAGTCCACAGCAGTCAGCAGAGACGGGGCAACAAATCCCTCGACATTATAGGCAAAGGGGCCCTTGGTTCTTGTGGGTTTTTTTGGAAATTAAATGAAACCAAGTAAACACTGAAGAAAACACTTCCTGTTGGCTGTTAATGACATGAAGCAAGCTAGGAAAAGCCTGACTTTTTCTAATCTGAACAGCTTCAGGTGTTACACAGAAACTTTAGTTTAGTTTAGTTTAGTTTATTTGCACATTTTTCTGAAAGAAGAATCGAACAGAAAATAAAAAAATAAAAAACAAAACACATGTGCAGGTGAGGTAGAAACCCATGAGGGCTTATCTCAAAACCTAAGATTAAACAAAGTTAAAATAAAATACAGTAAAAAAATACACAGAAACTTTTCACAGCGCAAAAGACCCTAAAAATAAATCAATAGAGCAATTTTCCTGTGCAGGATTTGAAATCCAAGATGATGTGGCAAGAACACATCAAAACAGTAACTAAACTCAGGCGCCATCATGTATTTGTATATTGATTCTGCGATGGCCTTTATTTGTACAGGCTGTATTTGTACAGGCCATCGTGTCCTAGCCTATGAATTCACATTTCATTTTGGGAGAGGACACAGCTCCACATACACACACAGTCAGACATGCACGCAAACACAGCGCTG